CCTTGGAATTTTTCAAGAGCAGGTTAGACAAACACATGATTTGGCTGGGGTGGTTTAGTCAAGACTGATCCTGCCTTGAGCACAGGGCTGGACTAGGTGACCTTGTGAGGTCTCTTCCAGCCCTATGATCCTATATATTGGGGAAGTAGAAAGATACAGTACTTGTATTTCTAGATTATGCAATTTGTTAAAATCTTCTGGTCTATTTTTATTGCCTTTAAGTATCAGCCAGAGTCTGTGGGGTCTTGTCCACACAAGAACAATGGCAACAGTATCACACGCACAGAACAATAGTTTTATTCTTCATAAATGCAATATCTAGCACATCGTATAATAACCCAGGGACATCAATCACACCAAGCACAAACCAAGTGACCAATATCAAACAAGAAAAGCCTCCAGCTGAAGGAAGCATTAATATGATTTTTAAATGTTTATTAATTTATGAGCATCTAATATAAAATTCTAGTTTGAAAGCAGACAACCACCAAGACTTGTCAGTCCACCTAAATGCACACCCTAACGTTAGTAGGCCTCAGGACTAGTTGAATTTAGCACAAATACCTGACTAATACGTGACCTTATCATTTACAGAGCATCTTCCAACTCAGCAGTTATAAGAAATTACATAAGCACCCCAAATGAACAGAACATAGAATTTTACTGCTCTGTTTTTAGTTAAACAAATTAAGACTTAAAAGCCCCATCATATAATGGCAACAACTCTGTAATGATTAGATGATGCAACCCTAAGGGGTAAAAGTTTTATTCCTACAGAATAAGCTCAGTTGCAAGCATATAGAATAGTAGCAAAAAATACAAGATACAAGAGAGGGGGACATCCCTGTGTAAACAACTGGGTAGAGACAATCTTTGATTGCCTGTCTTGTTGTTAATTGTGGATGTCTTTCAAGGGATGTGCAAGTATACTGGCATTTTAAGTACTACTGACCATAGCTCACGCTTTCATTTTCCAGGGGGGATTTCCGAATAACTTCAAGTCTTAGAATTTTTTAATTACTTTGTTCTTACTGCGTCTCCTTTTGGCTCCCATTAACTTTTAACCAGTAGCTAGGTGACAAGACACACCTACATAACCAACCTACCTAAGTAAATGTACACATGAAAAGAGTGTAAGGTGCATTTTGAAAGACATGAGTTGCAATAAACATATGTATAGGGGGGAAAAAAAAAGATTAAAAACAACCCCCCCCAAATCAATCACAAGGAAATCAAATCATAAAAGCTACCACCCAAATATACTAATCAGCCACAGTCAAACCCCAAATTAAGGGGTTGATCAATACAGAGTTAACAAGATTAGGGATGAATGTGTTGCCAGGACAAAAAGGGAACAAAATGAAGGCCCAGAAGATCAAATTACCAAGAAAGATGGGACTTCATACTGTGCCCTAAAGACAAAACTGTTGGACTGATTTTAATCAGTTTAAGCATAAACTTGATCTAGGCACCTTTCTTCAAAAAGAAACTCCAACTACAACATGGACATTTGAAAAAGCACATTATAATTCAAGAGCTAACAGTGCATTGATATGAGGCCTTGAATTTTTGATTCTGAACCTCAGAAGTGTTTGAGAGAGCTCATGTACTGTTGGCATTCAAAGCTCTTATAGGTAATATGAAAAAGTGTTAATTTAAAATTGTGATCTGGCAAACTATATCTTATTTCTATGATAGCCTGTGAGGTTGCTTTAAAGATTTAGTTCATTTACCATGACATTTCAAGTGTCATGTACACTTATCTTGTTTTTGCTGGTTTTATCCAAGTACATTTTGACTACATTTAAAGAAGAGGAGTTCAATCTTTAACAAAAAAGTTTCAAAGGCAAAAGTGTTAGTCACTCTAGCCTTATATTAACTGCTTTATGACCTGGAAAGCATGTCAGATGCTCTTAGTAGAGGTTATACTGCATGACCATTACATTAGTAACTCAGTAGTTCTTGTACAGCATAAGAGTTCTCAAGCACAGCTTGTCATACTTTAATATGTTTAACAAAGGAATGAGAAAGATGATTCCTCCAATTTACAGATGGGGAACCGAGGCAGGAAGTTATGCAACTCACCCAAGGTAATACAGCAAGCCAGTGAGAAAGAGCTAGGAAACCGGCACTCCTATTCAAGCACCCTATCCACTGGATCACACTGCTTCCTCCCACAGTTTTTATACTTATAAAACCTACATTCTTACATATGTATTGCAACAATTCAAGAGATAGTCCTTTTTCAAATTGTTTCATGAGAACTTCATTCGGAGAGTATTCCAGTTGTTAAATTTTTTGGCAGAACAATTTGTTATGAAACACCTGCAAGCTAAACAAAACAAAAAGGAAACCAATATTCTCTACTTTACAAGCTGATTAAGAAAACACCCATGTACTGGGGGGAAAAGCTAGCACCATAAGCATACTATGATGATCTTCAAAACCAAATCCAGACTAATTTTCTACATAATGTATATGCATGTGATAGAGATTCCTATGATACAGTCCATTTAATAAGCTGTATTATTCAAACTTCTTTTAGAGCATCAGATGTATTTGGCTTGAACCCGATTCCACCATGACTAACATTTAAAGCAAACTATTTAGTGAAGTTCTTATTTTCCTAACAACTAGGGTAGAAAAAAGCAAGATAAAAAGGGCTTTATTTTACATTCCCTTCATCTTTCATCATCCCAGCAACATGGTAGTTGTTAACAGAAAGGAAGTTACAGAAACTATTCAAAATACAATTTTGATTTAAAGTGTGTGTGTGTGTGTGTGTGTGTGTGTGTGTGTGTGTGTAACAAAAACACTTCCAAAATATTACAGAACTTTAAGAAAGTTCTAAAAAGTGGCATTTGAAAAATGCTAAACACTACAAGGTAGTGTAACACCAGTGAGAACCTGAAAGTGAAAATGACTCAAAGATTGGTCTCTTTCACATCATAAGATCAGCTGCTCATCTTGAACTATAGTCAGTTCAAAGAGTGACCGGAGTAGTTTGGTAAAATGTCAGTTATGAGTCTTCCCTCAACCAGTTTGCACTTTCATATATCATCGTTTTGTTCTCTGAATAAAAACAACTCACTCCCCTGCTGCTGAGTGGGAAAAAAAGCCATTTGAAGTAACTGTATATAACTGATAACACAAAATGAAGTTAGTTACACAAAATACTGTCAAACACAAAGCATCTGTATTTCAGTGTTAGCATATCTATTATCTCCAACTTATCTATTATGTAGTCACAATGTAACTTCTGAACAGGTCATTTCAGATCATTGCTCCCTTTGTGCTTCACAGCTTGGAAAAAAATGACAAGTCATTTTTGGAGCTCAACCACATCCTTTTGAACTGCATTGTAATTTTTGCTATGTGAATTACTCCAAAATTAAGAAGGTTTGCTGCACACTGTGCAGTTTTCATTTAAAGAAAAAACTGTATTCACTTGAGAGCCTGCTTTTCTAGACTTGTAACAAAACAGCAAATACCTGTTTGTTTTGGCAGTTTTCCCAGGATAGCTTTGTTTTAACATGTAGCTAAAGAGTAGACTTTTCAACTGCAAATTTCAATTATTTCTTCACAATTGTAAGAAGGAAAAGCCATCTTTGAAGAAGGCTTGAACTGCAGTTGTGGAATAAAGACTATATCTAAGAATTTCACAATTATAGTTAAAAACTAGAGGTTTTTACTTCATGCAAGTACATTTATTTTATCTTAACAGGCTGTACTGATTCTACAAAGGGTGTAGATATACAAGACAACAGTGCCTCTCAGTTAAGGCCTAGTTGGCATACATGTGTGAACTATTAAATTAGGGGCAGAAAAAAAAAATTTTACTGAATAAGATGTGCAGCTCTCAAAGTTAGGGTGCTGTTTTGGAAACTTTCCCTA